AACATCAGGGGTTCAGGGCGGTGGGGGACTCCTCTGGGACCCACACTCGCCTACCATGCATCTTGTCATCAGGTAGGTTACAGATGGCTTAGACTAGTGTGGAAATAGGGAGTGGGGGCCGCTGGAAATCGCGGAGGAGCTAAACCGTCCCCTGATGGGGCTATCCATCACCTCTGGGGCCTACGGCACCTTCAACCAGCCCGTGCCTCCATCTGTTCCTAATTCTGGAATGTCAAGTCCCAGTCAGCTCCTTAACAGCCAAAGCCATTTCGAGATTACCTCCTTCCAGAATTAGAAGGGGTGTGTGTGTGTGTGTGCGTGTAGCCTGTGTGCGTGCGTGCATGTATGCTGATATGCGCACAGTGTTTACTTAGATCCCAGCACTTAAAAATAAAGGCATTTCGCTGACATTATTTTTAATCAGCACACACACACACACATTTGCCCCTCCAAATGAAAAGAGGAGGCCTCTGGACTTGTGGCTGCTCCTGTAGAGTCAGCTCCCTGCACTGCAGGGACAAGATTCCTAACAGCCGCTATAGGAGGAAAGGCAAACACGTTTTACACTCACATTGTGCTTTCAAAAGTAGACAAATGACAGTTAGAGGACAGGGTCCGTGTTCCAGAAAGAAGTGGTAGAGGGGGCGGGGCGCGGTGGCTCACATCTATAATCCCAGCACTGTGAAAGGCGGAGGCAGGTGGATCACCTGAGGTCAGGAGTTGAAGACCAGCCTGGCCAACATGGAGAAACCCCATCTCTACTAAAAATACAAAATTAGCCGGGCATGGTGGTGTGCACCTGTAAATCCCAGCTACTCAGGAGGCTGAGGCAGGAGAACTGCTTGAACCTGGGAGGCGGAGGCTGCAGTGAGCGGAGATCACACCACTGCACTCCAGCCTGGGAGACAGAGCGAGACTCCATCTCAAAAAAAAAAAAAGTGGTAGAAGAGACATGTTTCCTCCGGGAAGTGAAAAACTTTTCTGACTGCTTCATATGAAAACAGCAGCAGCAAGGTGGCGTCGCTCCTAAAAGACTATTACTGGCACCTGCTGCCTCACCGCAGGCAGCCGAGCCCGAGAGGACAGGTAAGTCTCAGAAGGCACCCTTTGTCCAGCAGCCCTCTCATCTCCCACCTCTGCATCAACTCATGGGTGCCCTGAGTCCTTACTTCTCTGGAAGTGGGCTCTGTCACACACCTAGTGCTATCCGTGTGCCCCTATGTTTGCCCCTGTACTGGCTTCCTGGAGAGAAAATGTGACCCCAAAAAAGCCAGACCCAGAGACCAGATCACCCAGAGACACTGTACGTGTGTTCAGTGTCTGTGGAGGCTCCTTCTGGCAGGGGCTCTTTTGAAATATTTCTTCCACCCCACACGCTAACCCTTCACAGAACTCTTTCCCAAACTTTGGCTATTCACATGCACTTTCGCAGTCTGGCAATCTGCGCACCATCTGGACCACCGCTTAGTTAATACTCTTTGTGAAGTCCATTGATTTCAAAAGGAGGTTTTCATGGCTGGAAAGCCGGTATCAAGCACTATACACAGGATGTGATATAAGAATGAAAACAACGAAAAAGAAAACCACGTTTTACATTCCTTCTCGATGCTGTTGTTTCGTGCCCATGGCTCCAAGCCTGAGGGCTTCTCTCTTGATTAGCCAATTTTAGCATCAAACTAGAAGCTTTTCTTTCAACCATCTTCAAACAGAAAAATGAAGAGAGAATTTTAAAAAGTAATAATAATGACCGTGCCTCTATGGGACCTAACATTAATTAGTGCGCTGGGAATTACCTGGTTACCACAAGGCTAGCACTTAATGTGTGTGTGTGCATGCCTCCACGCACGTGTGTATGTGTATATGTACGTGTGTGCACACCTGCACACACATGCGTGTATGTGTATATGTACGTGTGTGTGCATGCCTGCACATGCGTATGTGTATGTGCATAGGTACGTGTGTGTGCATGTGTACATCTGTGTGTATGCCTGCACGCATGTGTATATGTGTGTGTGCCTGCCTGCACACACGTGTATGTGTCTAGGTACGTGTGCGTATGCCTGCACACATGTGTATGTGCATGTGTACGCCTGTGCGCACGCCTGCACACGTGTGTATGTGTATATGTATGTGGGGGGGGCGTATGTTAACAAACTGCCACATTTAAGGGTAATTTAGCTTCCATATCGTATTCAATGTGGCCACACAGATTCTAGCCCTTGATGTTTGTTTGTTTGTTTATTTGTTTTGAAATGGAGTCTTGCTCTGTCGCCCAGGCTGGAGTGCAGTGGTGCGATCTCGGTTCACTTCAACCTCCACTTCCCGGGTTCAAGTGATTCTTGTGCCTCAGCCTCCCGAGGAGCTGGGATTATAGGTGCAGGCCACCATGCCTGGCTGAATTTTGTATTTTTAGTAGAGACAGTTTCCACCATGTTGGCCAGGCTGGTGTCAAACTCCCGACCTCAGGTGATCTGCCCACCTCGGCCTCCTAAAGTGCTGGGATTCCAGGCGTGAGCCACTGCGCCCGGCTAGCCCTTGACATTTTTCATACCTTATGTGGTCCTTTCCAGGTAAATATTTCCAAAAGTCTTTTGAAAATACTGAGAAAAGCTTGCGACTCCCCCGGCATGCTTTCTGGGGTCCCTAGGGAACTAGGAAAACTATATAAGGAAGAACCGCAAAACAAACCAGGCTCCAGGCAGTTGGGTAAAGTCCCATTCACTCAGGTTTTCAGGGACACTGCTGTTTTAGGGACCAGAAACAAACCCCTCAAAGAAATGGAGTCGACACTGCCAGTGGTACACCCACCAGGCCGAAAACACTAAGGGTATTTTGTTTTCCAGATTGCTTGACGTCAATACAAGTTCATTTGCATGAGACGACCAGTGCAGCCACACAGATTTTATCAACACTACAGACCAGGCAGCTGTCTAGTCCGTGGGAGCTGCGATCGCAAAACGCCAGAAACCGGAGGCTGACAAACCACAGACAGGCACTGCTCACAGTCGCAGAGGCTGCAGGCCCAATATCGAGTTGTGGGCAAGATGGGTGTCTGGCGAGGCCTGTTCCCACCCAGATGCTCACTGTGTCCTTGCTTGGCGGAAGGGGCGAGGCAGCTCTCTGGGGCCTCCCTAACGGGCACTCATCTTCCCTTATGCCCGAATCCCCCTCAAAGGCCCCACCTGTTAATACCTTCACATTGGGGATTAGGTTTCAGCATGGGAGTTTGGAGGGACGCATACACACAGGCCACAGCAGCAACCGCGGAACAGAAACCCCACAATGAGGCCGGGCGCCGGGGCCCACGCCTGGAATCCCAGCACTTTGGGAGGCTGAGGTGGGCGGATTGTCTGAGCTCAGGAGTTTCAGACCAGCCTGGCCAACGTGGCTAAACTCTACTAAAAATACAAAAATTAGCCAGGTGTGGTGGCGAGCACCTGTAATCCCAGCTACTCAGAAGACTGAGGTGGGACAATTGCGTGAACCCAGGAAGCAGAGGTTGCAGTGAGCTGAGATCATGCTATTGCACACCAGCCTGAGTGACAAGAGCGAAACTCCATCTCAAAGAAAAGAAAACCCACAGAGACACGGAGCGGTCAGGGCCAGCGGTCCACCCCGTCTGACTGGAAACACTAGGTATATTCTGCTTTCTAAACCGCTTGGAGTAAGTTATGAGTTCATTCTGGCGAGATGCCCAGGGCAGCCACAGACTCTACGAGTCTAAGTGCTTGGGACTTCTGCCAGGACCGGCGTGGAACACAGCAGGTGTTGGATCCTCATCTGGTGAGGAATGAGTGAATATCCCGGAGTCCCCATGGAATTGGAGGCGGCATCTCCAAGCGTCTCCCAGGGGCTCCATCCTCGGTCACGGCTGCCATGGTCGGGTCGGAACATGTCCAGTCCCAGTGTGTTTCTCAGATTTACAGATACTCATTTCCACACAACAGGGCTCCCAAAGGTGTCACCTGCCACCCGATGCTGGGTGGAAGGAACGACACCAAGTTTGTTGAGCAATTTAAGGAAATTTCAAAAACAATTTGGATCACACATAATATCTGCCTTATGCACCAAATTAAGGCTAATTTTCACTTTATATAACTTTAATTTTCTCTCTATAGAACTCCTCTGTATTTTTTTTGTTGTTGTTTTTTGAGAAAGAATCTCGTTCTGTTACCCAGGCTGGAGCGCAGTGGCACAATCTTGGCTCACTGCAACCTCCACCTCCCGGGGTCAAGTGATTCTCCTGCCTCGGCCTCCCTAGCAGCTGAGATTACAGGCACCCACCACCATGCCCGGCTAAATTCTGTATTTTTAGTAGAGACAAGGGTTTCACCATGTTCTCAGGACTGGTCTCGAACCTCTGCCCTCAGGTGATCTGCCTGCCTCAGCCTCCCAAAGTGCTGGGATTCCAGGCAGGAGTCACTGCACCTGGCTGGACTCCTCCGTATTTCTGTATAAGTTATTAGTTTTATGCAATAAATCTAATAATGTAAAGATTAATTGTAGCTGTAATGATCTTTAACCTTGCTCTAGTTTTCATTTTTTAAAAGGCAAACTGACTACATTTACTTAAAAAGAGGAAAAGCCAGCCGGGCGCGGTAGCTCAAGTCTGTAATCCCAGCACTTTGGGAGGCCGAGGCGGGTGGATCACGAGGTCAAGAGATCGAGACCATCCTGGTCAACATGGTGAAACCCCGTCTCTACTAAAAATACAAAAAAAAGTTCGCTGGGCACGGTGGCGCGTGCCTGCAATCCCAGCTACTCAGGAGGCTGAGGCAAAAGAATTGCCTGAACCCAGGAGGCAGAGGTTGCAGTGAGCCAAGATCGCGCCATTGCACTTCAGCCTGGGTAACAAGAGCACAACTTCGTATCAAAAAAAAAAAAAAAAAAGAGGAAAAGCCACTTGGTTAGAAGAGCAATGTAAACTAATTGTGGAAAATACACAGAAAGTAAAAGAAGGAGACAAAGGTGAGGTCAGTGCTTACTGTGCACCCACTTACCTCAGGGCCCACAATCACCAGGTACACACTGGGCTCGTCCTGGTGCCATTCTGGAGAAGAAAAAAGAAAACAAACACGTAACATGGGTTCCAGTCACAGCTTCAAGCACGGTTTGCTTCGGTATAAATGTCTCAGTTTATATTTCATGCCATTTGGCTTTCATTCATGAGTCAATTTAAATAGTATTTATTTAGAATTTCTGTATTTGACATTTTATGATTTTAAGCAGAATTTTTTTCTACGATAATATCCATTATCTAGATTTCTAATTTACTGGATAACTAGGATGAGTGTCCAATATCACTACAATTCAGTGTGGACTTTGGAATATACTAAAGCTATATAGATGAGCTTAAACAATAAATAAAACTCCAAACGCATCACACAGATTGGTATGTGTGAAATATTTTCAGGTAAAATTCTTTTAGTCTTACAATTACTTGCTATTTTTGTGATTTTCTCAGAGCCTGAGGACACAGGACAGTAGAAAACAAAGCGGACATTCCTCCCAGAGCTGCTGATCCCATACAGTTTTTCTGTTCTTTTCGAGAGCAGCAATCTAGAAACAGCTCTCATGTGCAGAGAATGAGCTAAGGAAAGCTCAAAGCCCCGAAGAGGGAAACGCTGAGACGCGAGCCCACAGGAATGCCATAAACAACGGGGGAAGGTAACAGCACGCACACCTGAAAATGCGCCCACTGGAATGCCATAAACAACGGGGGAAGGTAACAGCACGCACACCTGAAAATGCACCCACCGGAATGCCATAAACAACAGGGGAAAGTAACAGCACGCACCTGAAAATGCGCCCACCAGAATGCCATAAACAACAGGGGAAGGTAACAGCACGCACCTGAAAATGCACCCACCAGGTAGAGAGGGTCCTTCACTTGTCGAAGTCCACAGATCAGAAGAAATATGTGCAAATTGTCAGCACTTTGGTTAATCTCTGTAAGAGAGGAGTTCGGAATGCTTTCAGTAGGGAGGACTCTGCAGTGATACCACAGATGCATTCAGAAGTGGAGGCCTCTGACTTCGAGGCCAGCTGCTCCTATTCTTATTTTTGAGACAGAGTCTTGCTCTGTTGTCCAGGCTGAGTGCAGTGGCACAATCTCTGCTTGGCTCACTGCAACCTCCATCTCCTGGGTTCAAGCAACTCTCCTGCCTTAGCATCCTGAGTAGCTGAGATTACAGACATGCACCACCACACCCGGCTAATTTTTGTAGTTTTAGAAGAGATGGGGTTTCACCATGTTGGCCAGGCTTGTCTCAAACTCCTGACCTCAGGTGATCTGCCCGCCTCGGCCTCCCAAAGTGCTTGGATTACAGGTGTGAGCCACCGCGCCCCAACAATGTCTTTACTGTGAACTAATGCTTTCTGGTGGGAAAAATGCAGCTGGGCTCAGGCTGTAAAACGCCACTTCGCCTCTGCTGTAAAGAAGAAGGATGAGGCAAGGGAAAACTGACTCAACTATGACTGAAATAGCAGCCAGATATTCTAGAAAAGACTCAGATATAATTCCAGATAGGAAGAATAATTTCTTGATGAAACTAGAAAAATGTACTCATGAACTCATATACGCATAGAGGGCTACACACATCTAAATAAACACATGTCCTTAAATCAACCCAAATGCCCTTCAATGATAGACTGGATCAAGAAACTGTGGTACATATACACTGTGGAATACTACGCAGCCATAAAAAGGAATGAGATCATGTCCTTTGCAGAGACATGGATGGAGTTGGAATCCATTATCCTCAGCAAACGAAATACTGCATGTTCTCACTTATGAGTGGGAGCTGAATGAGAAGAGCACATGGACACATGGGGGGAAGGATGCACACTGGGGCCTGTTGGAGGGTGGGAGGGACAGGAGGGAGAGCACCAGGAAGAATAGCTAATGAACGATGGGCTTAACACCTAAGTAATTAAATAATCTGAGCCATTGCACCAGGCCAAGAATGAGGTTTTAGTGTGGAGACTCAGCCATCCTGGCTGCATGAAGCCCTGGACACATGAGGAGCTCATGCAGGACCCAGTGAAAGTTTAGCCAACTTTAAGTGTCCAGGTGAGCCCAGTGGACACACACGAAGCAGCCCTCACGGATTAAATGCATCAGAAGAAATGCAGGGGGGCTGCTTTCAGCTGGTGCATCTTTTATTTTTTTTTCTTTTGAGACGGAGTCTCACTCTGTTGCCCAGGCTGGAGTGCAGTGGCCCGATCTTGCTCACTGCAACCACCGCCTCCCAGGTTCAAGTGCTTCTCCTGCCTCAGCTTCCTGAGTAGATAGGACTACAGGCACATGCCACTGCGCCCAGCTAATTTTTTTTTCTATTTTTAGTACAGATGGGGTTTCACCATGTTGGCCAGGCTGGTCTTGATCTCCTAACCTTGTGATCCACCCACCTTAAAAGTGCTGGGATTGCAGGTGTGAGCCACCACGCCCGGTCCATCTTTTTTTTTTTTTTTTTAATGAGAAAATACATTTAATTTTGTAATTATTGTACGTGTAATTTTGTTTCTGGAAAAGAGGCATAAATTTAGACACATGTGCTTCACAGCCCAAATTTCCTATAGTGCATCTGCTCTCTAATGTGAGGTATCCCTGTCAGGTGCCATGGCTCATGCCTGTAATCCCAGCACTGTGGGGGGCCGAGGCGGGCAGATCACCTGAGGTCAGGAGCTGGAGACCAGCCTGACCAATATGGTGAAACCCTGTCTCTATTAAAAATACAAAAATGAGCCAGGTATGGTGGCGGGCACCTGTAATCCCAGCACTGTGGGAGGCCGAGGCAGGCAGATCACCTGAGGTCAGGAGCTGGAGACCAGCCTGACCAATATGGTAAAACCCTGTCTCTACTAAAAATACAAAAATGAGCCAGGTATGGTGGCAGGCACCTGTAATCCCAGCTACTTGGGAGGCCGAGGCAGGAGAATCGCTTGAATCCAGGAGATGGAGGTTTCAGTGAGCTGATATGGCACACCGCACTCCCAGTCTGGGTGACAGAGTGAGACTCCATCTCAAAAAAAAAAAAAAGTGAGGGATCCAGACCAAGACATCTGCAGATACAGGGAAAAGCTGAGCCTTATTAGCAAAGGACCTTGGAGGCCTTAGAGGGGCCATTCCCCCATCACAGGACAGACCGAGCAGCACATCCTGAGGTGGCTTATTCCAGCTCAGCAGACGACGCGTTCAAGAGAAATGCCTAATATATTTCACACAAGCCAACCTAAAACTTCAGTATTTATAACCTGTATAATTGACCATAAAAGCATGCAGGTTAGAGGTTTTCTTTCCCAGGACGGGCATTCATTCATTGTTAATTCAGACACGTTCGTTTTCCCAGGGCTAGCCAGATCTTGAACCGCGGCACAACTGGTTTGAACGTACTGAGTTATGGAGGCCACTTCCACACAGTCACAAGAGCTTCAGGAGATTAATAACTGGAGAAAATCTTTACTGACATGTTAAGATCGAGATTGTCGCTCTTAGAAAAGCCATGGAAAACTGTCATAGCCTCTGAATAAGCTGCTGACAATCTGCATTGTCAATTTTCATTGAAATACGTTGAGTTTTTAATATTTCCTTAATACTTTTTTTTTTTTGAGATGGAGTCTCAGCCTGTTGCCTGGGCTGGAGTGCAATGGTGAGTTCTCAGCTCACTAAAACCTCTGCCTCCTGGGTTCAAGGGATTCTCCTGCCTCAGTCTCCCAAGTAGCTGGGATTACAGGCACAGGCCACCATGCCCAGCTTATTTTTGTATTTTTGGTAGAGATGAGGTTTCACCATGTTGGCTAGGCTGGGCTCGAACTCCTGACTTCAGATGATCTACTGGCCTCATCCTCCCAAAGTGCTGGGATTATAGGCGTCAGCCACTGCACCTGGCCCTTTCCTTAATATTCTAAGTGGAAATGCAAACCTTAGGGAGTCCTTGTTTAACCAAAAGTCTCAGCTAGACGCTACATGCAGAATTTGAATTGAGGTCAGAAGAATTTGAGGTTAGGCATTTGAATATGAGGTCAAGAGCCAAGTTATTCACTTTACTAAATGATTTTTTTTAATGGAGAAAACTTTCCAGGATTGCAAGATCAGGTAGGAGAAACAGGCAAAGCCTATGTTACTCGGCAAGAGCCAGAAATGACTGCTAAGATTTGCAAGTGCAAGTTTGATGAGGATAGAGATTAAGAGAGCCCTCTCAAAAATCACTTATTAATTACAAAGGAAATATAATACCTGTCCAGTACATGAAGGAACCAGGGGATACCAGCTTAACTAAGGGAGAAAAGCTTAGCCCAGCACACATGGCCTGTGTGTACACACACACACACACACACACACACGAGTTTATATAGTCAGAAAAAGATCTGTGGTGTTGGGACAAGCTGATGCCTTCCGCATCCAGACGTGACACCCTGAGAAGGAAGCAGCGTCACATCCATCACATTCTTGGTGTGCATGGAATACCTATTCACAAACACAGCAGGAGGAAGATGGAAGGAAGGAAGGTACAAGGAGAACCACAAATGTGCCATAAAAAGGGGGAAAGTTGAGAATCGGTATTAACAAATTGGAAAAGAAAAAGCAAATACCGAACAGTCTACAAAGATGGCACCCAGAGATGGCATTCAAAGCACTGTCTGAAGAAGCTAGGTGCCATCGGGTGAAGAGACGAGGTCTCTGTATTTCTGCTCTGTGACAAGTATGAGTGCTGGAACTTTGTTCCTTTGCTCTGACACACTTAGCTACTGAGAACTCCAGGCTCTGAAGACCCGTGGGCATTTTGGTCACGTAGGCTGGAAAAAAGTGGCCCTCCCACTGCTAGTATCCCAGGATCCCCTGGAAAGATGATCCTGGGAAGAGAACCATCCATAAGGTACAATATTGACTTTCAGAGTTTTTTGACAATGACATATGGTAAGATAAACTATTATGCGGCAACTTGGTCACATGAGATTTATAAATACGCACAGACACAGAGGCTACATATAATTAAAAACAACTTTAGGCTTATTACATGCAAGGCACTTCGACGTTTTCTGTTTTATTTCACTTGCATTTTTGAAAGTGCTGGTCCCTGACTTACTAAATTCCTGATGAGACCCCTGACCTGCAGGATGCTGCAGGGAGATGAGCAAATCCTATATTCCTTTCCTCTCTCCTCATCTTCTTCCTGGGCTGCAGATTAAATGTAATGGGAATGTAGGAAACTAAACTAGAAAATGATGGAATGAAGGGCTATATGCCTCATCTTATTCTAGGTTTTTTTAAAAAACAAAAACTAAAGGGCAGAAACAGCATTTGGATTTGAATAGCTTATGTGCACTTTTCACATATAAAATATCATTCGCAGAAAAGAAAGATGAGAGTGGGTAAATCCTGACCCAGTGTTCAAGCGCTCAGGCTCATCACACATAAGCATCAACTCTGATGATTACATTTCAGGCTCCCTAAAGCCCCTGGCGGCTTTAAGGTGGTATGAATTCTTAGCTTTTAACGAGGAACTATTAAATAAGGTGGGCCTGCTGATGCTCAGAAGTAAGGCACATACCTAACTAATTATTTTAGTGAATTTTGTCTCCCTCTTTTAATGCCAAACTTATTTTTATTACCTTTGCTTTTCCTCTAACATCTAGGCTACCCATGAGTCAAGGTTTGCAGTCGTCACTTATAAATGCACACATTTACACGTCTTTCCGATAGTAACATTTCCTGGAGAATGGTATTTTTATCTTCAAAACAAAATGTGTTGTTTTCATGATCTGGCATATTGCTGCCAAGGGCTACCCCCACGTTGCTTCATCTCCCAAGTGCGAGTCACTGGCGGGCTCGGGAACAGAAGTCCAATCCACGCTGAGCCAGTCTCTACGCCTGTATTCTATTCCAGAAGCTCTTTATTATTTTCCTTCTTTCTTTCTTTCTCTTTCTTTCTTTCCTTCTTTCTTTC